TTGAAGTTGAAAAACAGGGCATTACGGTGTTTACAAGCCTTTCTGAACACCGTAAGCAGATGCGGTAAGTACATTTATCATTGAGACAGAAAACCGAACTTTGAAGATGAGATCTCTTTGTGAGAAATGATGAAGGATTTATTGTCAGCGTGTCCACCTTAAACTTTTGTCCGTGCTTTACCACTCATTCCTATACAACGAGATAACGTACCTGAAACTAGAAAACGCACCACAATCAGGATAGTTTTCTTCTCGTTTTGTTAAAATTGTCCTCATAAAAAATACTAATATTCATCATTGCTTAAAATATGTTACTACTGTATATGTCCCTGTGCCTTTGAAACTTTACATCTAAAACTCTCTGTTTACAGTATGTAAAAGCTACTTGAGCAGTGTTTTTTACCAGTTATCAGAATATCTCAACTCATTACAATGAAAGTATTGCAAGGACAGAATAAGTACTGTATATATTATTATACATAATTATATTTTTGTGATTTTTCCAAAAACTTTAACTGCATGTGTAATATTTTCAGTCTTATAATCTGAGCAACAGCATACTACCTATTAGCTTGAACATGTTTTCTATTAGAATGATATCCACATTAATCACTTTTACCTACATTTGGGCAGGAATCTAATTTCTTGCTTAAATGCGCTGTTTATGCTTTGAAATTGATGTTTTATGTAAATGAGTTGCTTCTGGAGACTGGTACAGAACAACCATACACAGACACAACATGTACAGTATGCATACAGATGTGCATTTATTCGTGCATACTGTATGCATTCTATAGGCATGAAACGTGCAGAGCACACGCAGGTATCAAGATTTACATTAGGGAGAGCAGAGATAAAAAGATTAGTTGTCAAATGGTGAACTAACGTATGAGAAAAGAGCAGAATGCCAATTTTGTCTTTTGCTTCTGTTTTGCCAAGGAGATCAGATCGATGTTACCATTTTCATCAAAGGTGGATCTCCATGTACCTGATTGGATGCTGTGGATCACTCACCTTGGATTAAATTATAGGCTCAGCCCATGACCAGGAATGACAGGCAGGGGTGGGCCAGCTCAATAGTTTGCACTCCAGCATTTGTTGAACTGTTGAGCTGTTGAGTAAGCATCTTTCACATCCACTCTAAAAAAGGAACTTTCTGTAAAGCTGTAAAGGCAGAAATGTACATTTTCAGAAAGGAGCAGGCCTATTTTACATGGTACATAACAGTTTAAAAAAAATAAAACACCACGTCCGTAGCATGTTGTGAAGTGTTAACAAATATTGCAATTAAAATGCTTTTGCTCGTTCCTCTTCCTTGACCGCAGAGAATGACCAGGAGGTTTCTCGTTATTTTCT